ACTATTGATTATATCCCAGAATGACTGCATGAGGAAGTTGTTTACTTAAAGTCCATTACAAGCATAAGCTTACCACAGTGGAATGATGTAACATGACAGAAAGTACAGCAATGATAACAATCGCACGATTCTGGGCTACAGCAAATGAGCACAAGCATAGCAGCTGTTAATGCAAAAACAAAAGAAGAAAAACTGTTTACATTTACAAGACCTCAGGTACACAAAGACCTCCAACGAGATACCCTTCCCTCCACTTCCAACCCTTAAATGAGGTCTGGGGAAGGGTGGATCATGGCTCCCCAGCCCTTCCAGTCACTACGGTTCATTGCTTGCACCTGAGCTCCCCTGGGTTGGCCTTGCCTTCCTACCAGGTGCTCAGTCACTGTTTCAGGCCATGACTTAGCACTTCCACTACACAGCAGCAGATACTGAAAACATGGCTTACCAGATCATCAAGCTAGGAAGTAAAAAATGAAAATAAAAAATGTTGGTATCTGTTCATACAAAGAACAAGACAGCTAGCCAATAAAGTTCCACTGATATGCAGAAGAACTGACTCATAAGCAGCCTCTTGGCTGTGTTTAGCAGCAGAGGAATGTTTAGTTGATTAGTCCTCTATAACAATAAACAAGAACTATTGAAAAATGTGGAAACTACTGTTGAGGATGTCAGGGAGCATGACATAATTGATGTAAAGCCTGAGACCCCCAGTTAACCAAATGATGAAGTACACAATTTAAAATAATGGCTCTGTTGTAAAAAGCACTAGGATTTGTTCTCAATTATGTCATCATCATCCTTATCTGAACATTCATACGGTTAAAATATTTTTAACTTTAGTCTCTTCAACCATAAACAAGTGTCTCTGTGACTACATAAGCTGATCTAGTGACTCATCGCACTGAAAAACTGATCTCACAAAAGCTACACAGAAAATAGGTGCTGTATTCTGAAACCTACATTTTTGCAGAGTTGTTTTTCTTTCGTAAAGGAAATCTGTATGAAAGGACATTTTGTAAAAAACAAAACAAAATAAATAATTAAAAAAACCAACAACAACAACAAAAAAGAAACCCTAAAAGATATACTCCAAAGGAAGCACTGTAAAAGTTCCTACAGCATACTCTGCTGTTGTGTTATTTAGGTGTGCCTCAATACAAAGGATCACATGAACTCATTCTGGTCAGTTCAGAGTTCAAGCAGTGTGACATCGTTATTCTCTGTAACAGAGTGACTAATTTTTTTTTCCCGATAAGACAAAGGCAACATTGGATAAGTGCTGGGTACAAGGATGCATAACCTTCCTCAGACTGAACGTGTTCACAGATGATAGTTGTTTAGCCAGGCACTAAACAGAAATAAGCACATTTTTCTTTTGCCATAGAAAAAAATCCAAGAAGCATTGTTTTTTATATACAATGTCTGTAAAATTCAGAGAAGCTGAGCTGCTCCAAAATCTGTATATGCACAATATAAGGAAAACTATTTCTAATGCATAAGCAACTTCAATCCACACTCAAGACATGCACTGTCAGACATACTCACACCTGCCTAAATGTCCCTCAAGTCCCAACAAAGAAACGAGATCATTAAATTATCCCCTGAAGAAAGACTGGAAAACTACCAATAGCTTTCTCATTCTTCTTCTGAGAAAAGGACTCATAGACTTCATAGAAAAGGACTGTTTCATAGTAGGTTCAAATAATGACACACTTTCCTTTGATTGTGAAAGGGTGTAGCAGTCAGATCAGAACAGAATTTGAATCTACTAAGCTAACTCGTTATTTTCCCTACTCTTACAAACTCATTGTCTTAGCAAAAATACTACCACCAATTTCTCAGTAAGCTCTAGGTACAGATTCTTATCTGTAGATATTACCTTTTTGCTCCCTCCCCCCCCCCCCTTTTTTTTTTAATAAGGATAATACTTTTTTTTTTTTAATAAGGATAATATTTACCTTTTTTTTTTTTTTTTTTTTTTTGAGTCATTCTGTGAAGTCGTTCTGTGCAATTTTTTCATATGTGTATTGTTTCCAGAAAACAATAAAAAACAATAATAGGGCATGAATACAATTTCCACCCCCCTTTTTCTTAAAACCTAAAAGAAAATAATCACCTGGAGAAGAGAATCTTTGTTATGGTCTAGAATTGTAGGATAAATATTCAAAATATAGAAAATGAGAAAAGTAGAATTCACCTAATTCAGTTAACTGCTTCAAAAAGGGAAAAATGCTTCTGATAAAATACAACAACAGCAGCAAAAACAAACATAAGCAAAGAACAAAAAACCCACAACACTTTAGGAAGCACAAACCTAAAAAATGGATTTTTGTTTTTGGTATTTTTGGTAAGCCTAGCCTGGAGCAAATCACTAAAGGCTTGTTTAGATTCAAAACAGTATTCTGCTGTTTTCTAATTTACCTAAGTTACTTTAATGAATAAAATACCTTGACATACGTTGACTCTGTACCTTTAATGTATAAATCTTATATCAATACCTCATCTAGCTCCAGTGCTTTAGACTTTAAATTAGAGCTAGACATAAGTAAAGGTCAACTATAGGTCTTCTGTGAAAGAAGAGATCATTACATTGTTAACATATTAAACATAATTTTTTTTAAACAATAGGTAGGAAGCTGTTAGCTTCCTCTTCCTATGAATAGCTACAGACAAAACTTGTAAGCTTATTCAAAATACAAAAATATAAAGCCTAATCAGTGGACTGTTTTGCAGCTGTGTCATGGCTACAAAAAAAAATGTAACCATAGAATCATCTTGAAACAGCTGTGAAGATGCCTAATTTGTAATCCTTATTCACTTATGTAAATGTTCATAATTAGCTGTTTTAATTGACATTTGTGACACTATTCATGATAGCAACATAAAACATTGCTGTTTTAATGGTCAATTAAGATGAAAGATAAGATAATCCAGGAGGGCAGATGAGACAACCTGAAGACAGTCTACAGCATTACACTAGTAGAACGATTCTGGTATGTTAACTGTAGAGTGGTTGTGCTCATGATGTAGAATTTTTGGATGAAATATAGGATATGCATCCCTGTAATTTAGCAGTGTTTTCTTTCTGTGGTTAAGTCAAATACTGTATATATTCTCTTGTTGTAGTATGCAGAATAATTCCTGTATAAAGAAAAATTAAAAAATCCTCCCTCCTACAACCACCCAGTTACATGGTTAGGACAAATATTTCAAGTTTGTTAATTTACTTCTTCAATACTAGAAACCTAAAGAACAGAATATTTCTCAAGGATTGAAACCTGAGTAGCTGGTTTAGTCATAAGTTGACTTCAGTTGTCTTAGAATTACTTCTCAGAAGCCTATGCTTTCACTGATAGATGAAAATTCTGTCACTGGATTTATAAAATCTCATATATCTTTCTCTCTTTTTTTTTTTTTTTTTTTTTTTTTTTTTTTTTTTTTTTTTTTTTTTCCCCAGATATTTTTGGAGTACATAGCTTCTGGAAACTCACATAGATGTATTTTTTTAATATGTTTGTAGGGAGGATGTTAGAAAGTTAAGTTTTTAGATTGCTGTATTAGCCAGTCATCTTGAAAAGCCTATTTTGTTCAAATTCAGATATAAAAAAGTACATGTTTGAGGGACATTCCTATCAGCCTATGATCATTTTATTGTAAGCTAACTGTCTGACTCACTTGTTGCAGTTAAGTGTTTGACTGAAATTACATTTAGAAACCAAGAGGAGAAATACAGCTACATAGCAGGAAACTTCTGCAGCTACACATTCTTACTGTTGTAAAATGAATTTTGCTAGATGTAGAGATATAAAATTTCTTAGATATGAAGCCAAGTTAAGAACATTTTGTACAACTTTTTTCACCCTCAGGCCATACCTAAGTTGCTCTCAGAGGTGGGCCAAAACACCACAGTGCAAACTGGTTGCCAAAATAATCCAAGGTTTGTTTGGTTGCCTTAAGTAGTTGTGGTTTTTTCCTTTTCTGGGGGAGGGGATGAGGTTGGGGAAGTGAGGGACTCTTTCATTTTAATTTCCTAACTGAGATAGTTGCATAGTATCACCTCACTTTTTGCTTAAAGTTGCCTGCAGAATTTATATGCTCATAAATTGTTGGTTCGCGTGTAGAATACTGGTTTTTCATTCTCAAATCCGGGTGAGGATTGGAGTGGAGTAGAAATAGGAATACTAACATTTTTAAGTATAGCTAAAAAATTGTTATTATTACAAGAAATGCCAGATTGTTCCACAAATCTCAGGCATGCTTTAACCATGTGTGTCAGCACAGGTGTATGGAGACAGAGATGGGAGAAATCTACTGTACAGGTCTTACTTGCACATTGAACACAAAAAGTTTTGCTGTGGAAGATGTGCAAAACTCTCTAGGGAATTCTAGAGAGAACATCCTCTATACGATAATAAAATGATAGGTTTGTACATAAATCTGGACTCCAAAGATTTTTGGGTTGCCCTTGTCCTCTTACAACAGACTGTGTCTGTTTCTATGGCTGTTTTCCTGGTAACTTAAACATACGTTCAGCTATGCCAACACAAAAAGCCTGTTCTTCTCTCATTTGTATAACAATTATATTGATATACAGGGACATGCATGAGGTCCAGCCAAAGGAATTTAGTTTTCTACATAAACTTCAGGCAGTTTATTTTGATATTATGAACCACAAACATAAACAGAAAACTCAGACTTTGAGGACTGGACTTCCCGAAGGTGAGGGGTAAAAAAGGCTTTCATTTGTGGTAACTCAATTTTAGCCAACATGCCACAGTTACCCTGTGCACTCAACATACTCCTAAAACAAAACGCAAAGGAACATGCTTCAGAAAAACCCCGTGGGCAGCATTGATATTCCACACATGAGATGCAGACCTTTCCTGCTCCCAGCATTTTGAGGAAAAAAACTAAGCCAAGCGCCTTCACAATGAACCCATCCTACTCGCTGGCTCTGTACTACCTAGCCCTGTACCAATCAGCCTTTTATTCACTCTTACATCTTTCCAACTGGAGTTCCTGGTCCCAAAGCTGCACCCCTACGACGCCATTTCCTGGCAAAGCCTCACTGCCCTTTCCGGCCGCCCGCCCTCAGCTCATGCGCACTACGTAAGCGCATGCGCAATAGCGGTCGTCTGTCCGCGCGCATGCCTAGATACGCTCAGCGTCTTAGGCGGTTGATTGGGAGTAGGCGTCTCGAGTACCTCCAGGAACTGCTTTAGCCGCCATGGGGAGACGCCCCGTTGTGGGTGCCGACTCTATGGGACCGTGAGGATACAGTCCTGACGAAAAAGGGGCCTCGTGCCGAGCCGGAGACGCCGAAAGGATGGAAGATCAGGCAGCTCCAGGCTCTGGGGGCGGCGACGAGCCCCCGGGCCCTAGCAAGATGAACGCGAAACGGAGCGGGCGCTCTTCGGAAGAGGAGACCCGGAATAAGACGAAGTTGGTGAGTGAGCGTGGGGGTGGGGGAAGCCTGGGATGGAGGGGCAGGCGGTCGGACCGGGGGGGCTGCTGGATTCTTTTTTTAGGAAGGGTTTAATAATAATCTGTGATGGTTTTTGGGTACTCCTTACTTTCGGGCCGGTGGTAACGGGAGAAAACGTGCGGGGGGTGCGCGGTGCTGGGAGGTGCCGGCTGGAAGGAGGGGCGCGGCGCCGGGCCGGGCGGCTGCGGCACCTGTTGCTGTAACCCGGGCCGAGCGGCTCGGCGCTGTGAGCGTGCGCTGTGCCGTGCGGGAAGCCGCGATGCGAGCGGTGTGCTTCACGAGTGAGCTCCCGAGTTAGTGCGAAAATAGTGTATAGCGTTACGTGCGTGTCAGGGAGATAAGGAGGCGTGTGTGTGAAGATGCTGGAGTTTTTCTGGTTTCTTTGTAAGGAACAGGTAAACTTTTGATTGCACCAGTCCTCCTTGGACCAGTACTGTTTATAAATCACAGCTGCTTTTTGGTCTTAAGTACTGTATTTCTTATGAACACGCACAGGTACATTTCAAAGCCACCAGTCCTGTATCTCAAATTATAAATGGAGGAGAAGCAAGAGAAGTTAATTATATCAGTGTTTACTTTGCTTACTTCAGTTACTTATATTTGGTTTAACTTTGAGTGAATTCGTTTTACCCTTGTCTTCAGACTGCCTTTCCAGAGAAGCACTTGGAGGCATTAATTAAAACCAGACCGAGACTTCACATTGATTAGAGCATTAATTATAAAGTTTTGGTATAACTTGTGCGAGCCTTTTCACAGGTAAAACTAAGTTAATATTTATTTGCTCCCACCTTGGATTCCTCTCATTAAGAGTAATGCAAAGGAGCCTTGGGCTGATCAGCTGGAAACTCATTTTTCTTGAAACCCATTAACTTGAAATGCACATGGGGAAGATGTTCATATGGGGCATCACAAATGCACTGAAAGTGACAATCGCTTAAAAGGAAGACAAAACGCTGAATAACTTGAACTTTGCTTATATTGAAGGCAACCATGTATATATTAACTCAGCATAAACAAATACTGTGGTTTATTTTGTTTTCTGGTGCTATTGGAAACAAACTCTCACTTCCGTGCACAGGATACATAGTATCAAAGTTTTTATGCTTAAAGTAACTAGCAAAGCTGCTTGTAGATGTTTCCGAGGGAAGAGATTTTAAAAAGTAGTTTTGTTTGTAGTTTTTGGATGCAGGAGACTCCTTTAATTTGAGGCAAAAAACTTGGACAGAAATCTTCCATTGCAGAGGAAAGAGCTTTGTCCTAATTGAAATCCGAAATTTTATAAACTTGTGTGAGATGAGCTCAAAATTGGATTGAGCAGGCCAGCTATTTCTATTGCATGCTCTCATCAGTTACTCTAGAGTCAGTAGGGTTGAATTTTTTGCTACTCTTAATGGGAGAAATATATCCCACTAGTACTTCAGTTTGTATGCAGACATGCTTTCGGTTTTTGAGGAGATAATTACACGCTAGCAACAACGTGAATGTGAATTGTGGTACCTTGCTTGAAGTCAGGGCAGATCTGTCTTTCAGAAGGTCAAGTGACTTGCTTCTGATGATATAATTGGGTGGATGTATTGACTGGGTGAGGAGATGTCTTATTTTGGACGTGATGTATGCAAACTCTGGATAAAGCTGTAATGAAGTGGGGTGTACCTTTGAGAAAGGATAAGGATGGAATTAAAGTGTATTTGAAGTTGAGGCAATGTGAGCAGACAGATTTATTACTTAATGGTAATGGTGTCTGTTTGTAAGGGAAGAACAAGACAAACCAGGAAAGGCATCATTCATTATATAGAAGAATAATCTTTTATAAATTTTGCATTTTTAAACATTGAATAACAAATTAATTCTGCTGAGGCTAGCAATTTCTTTTGGCTATTTGAGAGCTACCTTGCATGTACTTATCTTTACTGTGCAAATAAGAAGGATAGTTGAGACTTCTAAGAAAATCTATGCTGCTTGTACAAGTATGAAATTGTCACTGAGTTTGTAAATGAAACATAAATTTTGGTATGGAAATTTCCTTGGTTCACAGCTTATAATTTACAAATGTTCAATAGAGTTAGATAGATGAATCCACCTGTAGGTTGTTGGCTAGTGTTTGGAACTGTATGATGTACTTAGAGAGGTATGCCTCTTTTCAATAATCGCAAATATAAAGTGGCATACTGAAAGGGACTTTGTGGGACAGGGTGTGTAGCTACATATAACACCAGATTTATTTTCAGTGTCTGGCATCAGGCCTTTGGAAGAAGGATGAAGGGGAATGATTTTTATGTGGAATGTCTTAAAGTTCAACATGGCCAGGTATAAATTCTTGCATGCGTGGGTTGGGGCACAAATACAGACTGAGTGGAGAATGGATTGAGATTAGCTCTGAGGAGAAAGGTTTGGGGATGAAAAGCTCAGTGTCAGCCAGCAGTAGTGTGTGCTTGCAGCCTGGAAATCCAACTGTATCTTGGGGGTGGCTGTATTAAAGGAAACATGGGCAGCAAGTTGAGGCAGGTAACTCTTGTTCCTCTACTAGAGGCCACAAGGATGCTCAGAGAGCTGGAGCACTTCTCCTGTGGAGGCAAGTGGAGAGAGTGGAGGTTGTTCAGCCCCAGAGAAGGCTCTGGGGAGAACTTTCAGTATTTGAAGAAGACTTGCAGGAAAGCTAGGGACCCTTTATCAGGGTATCGATAGGAGAAGGGCTAATGTCTTCAACTGAAATAGGAATGGTTCAGGTTTGACATTGGGAAGAAATTGTTTACTCAGAGGGTGGTGAGACACTGACACAGGCTGCCCAGAGAAGCTGTGGATCCATGGAACTGTTCAAGGCCAAGTTCAGTGGGGCTTTGGGTATAACCAGGTCTAGTGAGAGCTGACCCTGCCTATGGCAGGGGATTAGAAATAGGTGATCATTAAAGTCCCTTCCGTCCCAAACAGTTCTATGATACAGTTTTCTGTAAGACAGCTAAGTTGATATTCTCACGTACAATCAAAGTTGAGCTGCATTAGAACTTTTTTTTTTTTCTGATTTGGGTTATTTTGAGAGTCATGTAAGTCTAATATAACCTTTTGAACTTGACAGAACTGTGGAGTGACAATTTAGCTCCAGATTTTGTACTAGTAGTGTGTGTGAATGGGAGTAATTTTTATGAAAACTTTATGTTCCAGGCAGCACTGGAAGGGCTCTGATTTAATCTTTTTTCATATCATTTTGTGCTAATGCAAGGACTAGAGGTGGGAATGAGTGCCTAGTGTTTCTGCCATGATTTTTGTTTATAATGGAATGGGCAGGAAAAAAATGAAATTGTTTTAATAAGCAATCATCTGATCTCATTCTAGCCCTGCGCATGGGCTAGCATAAGATAACAGCGAACAGCTACATATTTAACTTGGTTTGGCAACAGGCTTGTTTTGCCTATATAGCAGGCATTCTCTTAAATTAGTGGAAACAGACTAAATTAAGTTGTCAGAGAAATTGCTGAGACTTCTGGGTTTTAGCCCTTAACTTGGGTATTGTTTGCTGTGTCTAACACTAAAGTAAGTATGTAGTAACACTAAAAGAATTATTTAGGTTTTTTTGGCTGCGTAGGAAACAGGTGCATGCTCAAAAGTGTTGGGTCTGTTTGAATGTGGTTGTCATGGTGTAGCTGAACCCAAATATTTCTCAAGTCTTTTCAAGACTTTTCAAACCTTTCACATGAGGAGCTGAAGCCAGGCTTTTTACAAAAGTTCATATGATGAGAATGGGAGGCGGTGGAAAAGTGAAACAGGAGCGATTCTGACTGGGAATTAGAGGAAAAAGTGATTTGAAAGGTGATTAAGCTTTGGAACTGGTTGATCAGAGGTACTGTGTATCTTAGTCATTGGAAAGGTTTGAGACCTGGAAACGTGGACAAAGCTTTTAGCAGTCTGGTTTGTGTTTTGTGTTGACTCAGCTTTTTGAGCAGGAATTAGGGTGTGAGACACCTGAGATATTTTCAGATGTCTGTGATGTTATGAATCAGTGCTTAAAAAGACGTCGTTAGAACAGGATATGTGGTGCTTCCTGACTGTTTGAATGCTGCCTAGCTAGAAGTTCACATGGTCAGTATTTTTTGTCTGAGTCAAGGTTTTGTAGTATATCCTGTTGATTTTCTATTAGCATAAAAGAGAAGTATTTCTGTGCATGTAGTGGCTAGTGCCACGCTGAAAGCATGCTTCATTACTCCAAGTTAATTTCATCTTTGTGAGGTTTCATCAGTGATAAAAATAACTTAGCAACAATTTTAGTTTTCACAAAGGGCAGTGATATGAGTATGGCACTGTCTTTAAAAGTAGATTGAGACAAAGAGCTTGTAAAATGGGGTAAAAAATGTTAGGGGTAGGAGAGAGATTACTTAGTTGGAATGCAAGTAAATGCGATGATGTGGATTTGATGATTCATCCCACAAGGAGCAACTCATACTTGAGTTTAAAAACGGAAATTGTTTATGCTTCATACTGAAGCATTTTAAACTCTCTGAGCTCTCAGAAATCAATCCAAAACTGAAAATCCAATACTCTGACTAATGTGCCATCAACTAATGTCCAACAGTGGAATAAGGGCTTTTATCAGTTAACTTATATACAGAAGTAAAC